CAGCATTTGCTGTTTGCCCAGGGTTTTCCTGTGGCTTACCAGCAAAAGAACAGGGTTTGGAGTCTTGTGCTGGTTCAAACCTGACCTTGTTATTTTCAATCTGTAAGGCCTTGAGCAAGTTATTCAACCTCTCTGAGCTTCATACAAAACACTTGCATCCCCCAGTTGTGGTGAAGACTAAATGAGATGCAAAGCATGATACAGTAGAGCACAATGAATGTAAATTAAATGCCTTTAAACTCCCAGAGGTTTTATTCTCTGTGCTTTGTTGACACTTTGAATATATTCAGCCTTATATTCTTGGACAGCATTTTATGTACTTGTCCTCTAACCCAAGTGAATTGTAAGCACCTTGAGGGTGGGACCAGGTAAAGGAATCCCGAGTAATGCTCAGCATGGTGCTGGGCACATGGCAAATACCCAGTAAGTGAACTTTGATTTAACAAACTCTTATCAACCTTGGGCCAGCTTATTAATGATTATGAAATTCTAATGGGATGTAAAAAAGGGAGCTGATCAACCATAAATAAATGGCTTAATACATTATGGTATATTCCATTAGTGGATCATTATATGGAAATTAAAATCATGTTTTTAAAGAATAGTTAACAGAGGTGGCTCATGAGACAATATTATAGGAAAAGGGCAGGACACATAATTGTCTTTTCTGTATCTTATCAACACCGCAATGTATATGAGCCAAGAAGAAAAAACTGGAAAGATATGTATCAGAATATTAGCAATGTTTATATGGGGGTAGTGGAATTACTTTATTTTCTTCTTGTTCCTGTTTGTTCAGATGATCTACAATGAACATGTATTACTTATTCAGAACAAAAAACTGGTAATTTTTTTATGGAGAATGGAGGGGTACCCCATTATAAAATGAATTTCCCAAGGATGCTGCCAATGCCAATCCCGATTTGGGGACATTGAAATTGTTGGCCTTGTTCCCACCACAGCCCACCCCATGTAGAATCAGTGTGGGTTGTGTTATCCTATTGCATTAAATGCTCACCTCAAGGTTAAGAAGAAATGGAGAGAGAAAAAAAATCCCTGCAGGGACTGGGTCACTTATTTCTAAATCCCTTGTCAGATGCCCTTGAGATTTCAAGGTCTTAAATGGGGGCCTCCCTGCTTCATTCCATTACCAGGTAAATGGCAATTCTTGATCTCTGGCATCCTTTTTGACAACCCCTGAAAATACATAGCTAATGGTAGAAAGGTGGATACCAGGACCCCTCTCCCAGGCCAGGGAACACCTCCAAATACCCGACCTGCAGCCTGTGTACCTGATAGTAACTCTGAGAAAGTGGTTTAGAGTCAAGGGGACATGATGCTGTCACTTGTGAGCTCTGTGACCTTGGGGAAACTGTTTAACTGCTCCAAGTACCATCAGCAAAATGGGGGATGATAACATTACCTTACCCACAGGGATATTGCAAAGATTCAATGCAATCATACCTGCTACATTCCTAACCCAACCCACAGAGGATAACCACTACTGTGAATCTGATTAAACCAGCATGGTTTGGTGAAAGGAGCATTGGCTTTGGCCCTGCAAGCCCCCTTCACCACTTACTAGCTGGGTGACAAATGGGGTCAACTAACCTGCTTGAACATTAGTCCTCACATCTGTAAACTGGGGCCCACAATGCTAACTTCCAAATGTGGTTTTAAGGAGTAGAGAGCATGGGTGTAATAGCTACCATAGTCTGTAGAAGCCAGGCAGGTGGAGTGAATTAGTGAGTTGGGTTGAGTGGTGACGAGCTGAAGAGCCTTCAAGCAAGGTAGCTGTGACTCAGGACCAGCCAACTGTTACCATCCAGGGATTCAGAAATGTGAATTGTTGTTCAATCTGATTTGTTAAGAGAGGCATGAAATTTTAATTTGAAAATTACTTTTTAAATGTTGACAATTAATTAGAAGTTTTTCAGGCCATGTGTAGGTCAGCAGTGGTAGATTGGATTCCCACTTGTTTATTCACACCCTTGGCCATGGGACTTGGCAGGAGGCAGAGTAGATCTCCCCACCCCACTGATGTTGGGCTTGTCCTTATGACTTGCTTTGGCCGGTGGATGCAGGGTGAACAGATGTGTATGGGTGATTTGGCTTATCCTATTTTCACTTTTTCCAGAATCTGCCAAGAGAGGAGCATGCTCCTGGAACTCGCTGTCCCAGAATGAGATCTGAGGGGCTGACCTGATGCAGAGTTGCCCCAGGTGACCCATAGTCCCATGAGTGAGAAAAATAAGACCTCCTGTTGTTGTAAACTGCTGAGTTTTGGATATTTTTACAAAGCAAAATCTAACTCATGCACCACCCTTGGATACCCAGTTTGAGACCACCCAGGTAAAGCACCTTGCAAATGACTGATATGTAGTGTGTACTTAATAATGGTTGCCCTTGGGATTATTCAGGGCATGACAAATCTCTTGGGGTTCCTATAAGAGAAGTTAGGCTTAGGCCAATGCAATGCAATGTTTGTTTTGTGCTGATTTGACCCCTAAGAAACTTGAACCCGTCCATCTCTGTCTATTACCTTCTTGTATATCTGCAAGGATAACTGTCCCCCTACATTGTGCCTTAGAATTACAGACTGTAAAACTGAACAGGATGATACATGGTAAACAGTGTTTTCATGATTTCTTGCTTGGGAGTTTTTAACTATATATGTTCCATCAACATGTATGATAGAACTAGATATTAAGAATTCAGATGGAAATGATTAACAGCTCAGACCTGGGACAGTTTAGGGGGACAGTGAGTTGTATTCAGCAGCATCAACAAAACCTTGTAAGGAAAACCCTAAGGTAGAAGCAAGAACCAAGCGTCTCTTGGATCTCAGAGGGATCAGTAGATCCTGGCCATAGCTGGGGAGGCAGCTCTGCAGACAGGAGAATCAAGCCGGGCTTTTAAAGATGAAGAACTTTGGTTATGTAAGAAGGTGGGGGATGATTCTAAGAAGTAAAAACATATGCAAAGTCATGTATGACATGAGCAATTGGTGTATTCAGAAAATTGGGAGGAGCCTAGGTAGATGGCGAATCAGGTGCAAGTGGGGAGGGGCTAAAACCACAACAGGAAGGTAAGCGAGGACCAGGATGTGAACTGCACTGGATGTTGTAGATGTTTGTTTCCAAAAATGGCTGCCGTCAGTTCCTCCCCTTTCTGTATGCACACACCACTTACCCATCAAAGAGTAGAGGCTATGGCTCCAGGCCTTGGATCGGGGCTGCTTTGACGTATAGCACAAAGAAGTGACCTTGGGTTAGTTCTACCCTTGGCAGTTTACGTTTCTCCTCTCTTGGGATGCCGGCTCTTGGAATACTCCCTCTCAGAACCCAACCATCATTCTGTGAGAACTTTGTGGAGAGGTTACACGAAGGCACTCCAGTTAACAGAACTGGCTAAGCTCCTACCTCATAGCTAGCAGTGTGAATACACCATTTTGGATGTCCAGCCTGGTCAAGCCTCTGATGACTCCAGCCCCAGTCAGTGTGTGAGCCCCTAAGTGCAGACCACCCGACAGAGACCAGTGAGCTCTCGGAAAGGTAACTGATAATAAATTGTCCTCTTGAGTTTTGGGTTGATTTGCCATGCAGCAATAGATAACTGGAACAGGTGTCAAATAATATGTCATCAACTGTAATACATATTGGTGGCTTAGAAGACTTGACAAAATGGTGAGGTGGGTGGGGGATAAACTGGAAGTTCTCTTAGCAGTACTCTGGTGTGTAAGCAATAAAGTAGCGGTTCCCTATATGTCCTTTGGCTCTTTTGCTATTGTACTGCACATCTTTTCTCAAAATGCTAATATTCTAGAGAAGCGATGTGATATTCGAGAAAGGATGTAGGCTTTGTAGTCAAGAGAGATCCAGATTCAAACCCCAACTATGTCACCCATGAGTTATGAGATGAGACAAGTCACTTAATGGAGTAGACTGTGCCCTGTTTAGATGCCCTTTCTGAGACCGGCACACCCACACCAGCACACTATGACTGTTGCCTTCTATTTGGCCATCTTACTCTCTGCAGCACTGCCCTGAGCTGATGGGGGCCATCTTGTTCCAAAGGTTACAGTCTCCTATACCCTGCGGATGGCTCCAGACAACGACTGACTCGTACAGGTACACAAAAGTTGGGTGGCTCAGCTCAGGAAGGGGCAGTTCTACAGTGAGGTCTGTATTCTGAGCTCTCCCTTCATGGACCAGGTCCAGAATGTAGACTACATGAGTCCACAGCTTTTCTAGACTCTTTCCCCTTCCCCATCCTGTTCTCCCCGACTTTCTTAAAGATTCCTTTTCTTTCACCTGAAGAACACTCCCTCAGTCATCTTGTGCCCCAAAATCCTGATCTCAGGCTCTGCTTCTGGGAATCCCACGTGGCCTCCCTTAGCTTTTCTTTTTCAAATTCCCCTTTCCAGAATTTGCCAAGATGATAAATTAAAATCGCCTGGCACTTAAAACACATCCAACACATGCTAACAAATTTCATCTCTCATCTTCCTCACTGGTGGAAAACAAAGTGGAGAAACACAAGGGAATTTCTTTAAACAAAAAAGTCCTCGTGTGAATTTTCCAGGGTCTCGTATAGCAGCTTTTGAGAAAAACAGGCAAGCAAGATATTGATTTTTAAAAACGAAGATATTAATGCTAACTTTGTGAAGCTCTGAGGATGAGCTGAAATAATGTCCGTGGACCTGAAGTAGGGTTGGTTGGTGCAAAATATACTCTCAGCGAGTGGAAGCTACCACTCTTCCACTTGCCAAGCTCCAGAAGCACAAGCCAGATCTTCCTTGCTCAGAGCAGACACTCTCACATCTGCCCAAGTGAACTGCAGTGAGTAGGGAAAGGAATCAGACTTGACAAAGAATAATGCAGCTTTCACAAGTCCACTCCATGTGTAGGCTGGGCGCTAACTCCAAGCTCCAGACTTCTCATAATTGTGGGCAGATTTCTCCGCCCATGCTCACAAACAGCCAGATCCACTTGCGTTGGTCGTTAACACAGTTTATTATTGGCACACTTATCGGTAAAGCATACATAAAATACAGCTGTTTTATAACACACGGAGCCACTGTGTCTTTACATGTGTGGCAGAACATATTAATATGCAAATGGAAAAATTAGTTCTCTTATAAAGTTTCACATAAATACACTGGAATTGCCCCAAAAGAAAAATCCCCATAAAAGAACCAAGGGAGGGCTTTACAAAATATTATACAAGAAATATACTATGAAAAGAAACAACAGTCAACTCAGATACAATAAAAAACACAAAAAAGTTTCAGATTTATTAAACTGCCCACAAAATTAATGGATTACATGGCTTGAAAAGATCTGGATCAACAGCAATTTTACAAACGCATCAGTTCTCAACGGGCCAGGTAGGTGTCTTTCTTTACATAAAAAATCCACCTCGGCGTCTTCGATGACAAAAAGACATTTCTTGTTTCAGCACTTGGGCTCAATTGAACCAACTCGGGTTGGAGAACCGATTGACATTAGCTCACCCATAAATTACCCTGCTAGGCCCTCTTAGCTGTTACCCAATGAAGGAAAAGGTGAAGAAAGTAATAAAAATTAATAAGGATACACTTAAATTACTGTCCAAAAGCTGATTTTTTTTCTTTTCTTTTTTTACTGAAACAAGAAACTCTCAGATGCAAGTCAAAAAGCAGAAAATATTTTACAATATTAAAAAGTCATCTGTGGTTAGGGTCGGCATATAACGAGACCCTGAGCACTGAGGGCGTATTGACAATATGGCCTTGGTTGGGTTGGGCTGGGTTAGGTTGGGCGGGGCGGGGCGGGGCGGGGCGGGGCGGGGCGTGTAATTAACAAACATGTGGTTAACACCGAGCCAGGAGAAGCGCGAGCGTTCGCTCTGGTTTTAATTACCATCAGTGCCAGTATCTGTGTTACCTGCGAAGGCCTCCAGGGAAGGGTCATGGAAGTTTACTGGAATAATCCTCTCAATTCAAAAAGGAACAAAGAAAGAAACTCGAACTCAGATCATTGTGATTTAGAAATAGGTATTCGCATGGAAAAGTTTTTATTTCTCCTCCTTCCTCTCCTGTAGGCAAGGATCTGCAAGCGTGGGTGTGTGTACCCCACGGCCTACTGACAGTGGGTGCAGGTGCGGGTCAGTCTCACTGGGGAGCCTGGGGCGGGGCGTTTTCTGATTTGGTCTCTTGAGCGGCGGGGGGTTTACTGCTCCACGGGCTGCTGTTCCCCAGGGCGGGGGGGCTGTTGAAGTCTTCCTCGTCGTCCACGCCGTTGGCCGCGTCATATTGCGTGTTTTCTAATCTAGTGATTAGCCTTTCGTCCTCGTCCCCAAACTCACCTCCCATCAGAGTTGGCTCTCCTACCACCATCACATCCTGTGAACAGCAGCTGACATTATTACAGGGAAACCTTGGGACAGAGAAGCTCAGCTTAAAACACTAGCGGGAGGGGCTGGGCGATCTAGGACAGACACACTCGTGTACTGTGTCCCGGGGGTCAAGTCTCAAAGTCGGGGGGTGGGGGCGAGACGCATATTTGATTTCTACAGGAAATAAACATTGCCTCCTGATGGGGAACAACCACGCGAGTTTATGTCCTTAGTGCGCAGCCTGACCTCGGAGAACGAGCAATGCTAGCAATCTGCAGAAATAAAAAAATCGATTTTTCAAAATTAAAAAAATCCACGCTTTTAACTTGCCGACATTGGGGACTTCAGAGAGGGCTGTGGAACCTTCTGCTGGGTGCTTTCCAATACCGCCAAAACTCCGCCACTTTTTATTTAGGGCCTCTGAATGGTTTTGGAAACCAGCAGCCAACGTGGGGAGGATGCTGTTCTACGATATTCACGCAACTCATTCCGAATGGCATTTTCTCTGTCCCAAGGACGGTATACATTTTAATTGAAGACAGAATCTCTCTTTTTTCTACTCAGCCAGGCCCTTTTATGCAGCCAATATCCTTGACATTCTGCTACTTAATTATGGTAATTAATTTAGGTAAAGTTTTCGATAAAAACAATGTTCACACTGATTTGACAATTTGCATAGCTAATTAAGTCATTAGCAAAAACCTGCTGATTGCCAACAAGCCCTGAATTTACCATCTGTTATCTCATGGTGCCTGTCACCTATCCCCACACAGGCAACCCTGCCACCAATCTGGGCAGTAAAGAGAACCAGTCTGTCCAGCTGGTGCCATAAAAGGAAGATGAAGAGCACTAATTATAATTACATTGATGAAGCTGGTAGTCATCAGAAATGGAAGCGTGCAAGAAGAATCCATCTAATCACTCCTTTAAGTACAAACTGTCCTTCCATGCAAACAAGGAAGCCACCTACTGTAGCTGGGAGCTTCGTGGAGGCCACTGCTGGAGAGGGACGGGGGAGAAGGACGCATACACAGGGCACAGCTCCAGCCTCTTTGTTCAAAGGGGGCCGTATGGGGTTGATGGGTGACCTGGGCATGGGACAGGACACCTGTCAGGTGATACTGCTGGGCAAGCTGTGAGCAATGGTCTACTCAAAAGTGCAGTGACTCCAGGAGAGTGCCCAGTGCTGTCAGCTTCTGCCTCTGCCAGAAAAAGCAGGGCTGAGCCAGATGCTTTTGGGCATATAAGGGTGCGTTTCCTGACAGGGAGGCTATGCCTTGGACAAAATGCCTTGGTAACTGGGCAAAAAATTGCCCTCACTGGGGGCAAGAGAGGCTTTCCTGGGACAGTATGGTAGACTACTGCCTTTGGTCAGGAGAAGGTCCAGTGGACCCTCCAGTTTCCTTCTAGAATTCTGAAGGTGCCAACTGAACAGAACCCTTAATGTCCGCCTGGTCGATTTTGTAATGGAAAATTTGGTTTGTTTGATTGACTGATTGATTGGTTCCCCGAGAACTATGGGGAAGGTCATCAGTGGATTTCCAAACTGTGTTTTCTGACTAATCACTCTTGTGACTTGACAAACGTGATTTTAAAGAGCTATGTCCCAGGTTAAGTAAATGCCTCAAATACAAATTGGATAAACTCAGCGATCTAGGTGCTGGCAGGGAAATCAGCAGTGTGCTTCGAAGAACATATTGATTATGCAGCGAAGAGCCAGACGTGACACTGACGTGGACTCAAGGTGAGGAACAACACAGACAGACTCTGACTGGCAAGAGTACGGACAGGACTGGAGGTGGAATGGGCTCTCCAGAGAGGAGGGGACGTTATCGGGTTAGCCACACCGCCCGCTGAAGGTGTTCTGGACAAAAAAGAAAGCCACTTGGTTACAGGCAATCGGGAGACAGTGCTTATGGACCAGGAACAAAGGTGAGGGGAAAGAATAGGGCAAGACTGGGGAGAGGATGACGTGGGTTAATCTCATTTCATGACTTACGTGCAGCACACTTTGGAAGGGTTGGAACACACATGCGTGAGGTGTCACAGGACAGGAGAAGGGCGTGGGGACCGACCACGTGGGTCTGCATTAGTATCGTGAGTCCAAGGTCGTCGAGAGAGGCTGGGACAGTGTGGGAGGTAAGCATAATTTGGAAACAGAGGAGAAAAATCAGAAGGCAGCTTAAGCGTGACATTAGGAAAAGGTCCTCAACACTCCAGGTGCCTCCATGGCATCAGAAAAATAATGGTCATTCACGAAAAGTACTATGAAAATCGTGATTTGAATCACTCCAAATGGGGCCGGTATCAGCTCATAGTGTTTGGAACAGCTGGAAAGATGCCCAGGCATAGATCCTTGTCAGCATCCTAAATTTCAGAGAGATGCCACATTTGCCTTGCTGATTATAAAAGAAAAGCCTTAACCAGATACGTAATCCTGTGTGTACGCGCGGGAGGGATGGATAGATGGCAAGCTATGAAAGAGATGTGTGCTGGGGGTTCTTAGGCGCGTACGTACTTAAGGCCACTTACACACACTTACACAAGTATGCACAGGGCTCTGCCTGGAACCTACGTCTACGGAACCTGCAGACGAGACGAGTGGTTCTCTGCTCAGGCGGTCTCGATTTGTTAGCCTCGCACAAAATGAATGGAGACATAGTGCACATTCGGGGCCGCCTCTCACTAGTGGAAGTGGGCTCCATTATCCCCACCCGCACATCTTTAAAAATCCCCCCAACATTCAACATCGGCCGTGAGAGGTGCATTTCCTTCCCACGTGTGCTTTCTCGTGTGTCCCGCAGGAGGCAGGGCCGGTGTGTCTGAGAGTGACCCAGATGCCCTCGGCTCCCCGTGAGGCAGACCTCTCTGCTCCTCGCTGGAGGCCTGGAGGTGCCACCAGCTCTTGCCCATGTCACATCTTCTCACTAATCCCCCGTGCAAGGACCACCAACCTCTGAGGAGGACTGGAAGTGACTCCTTTCAGGGCCCCTCAATGCTTCTCCTTAAATTGGCCAGAAGGGGTCACTGCTGTAGAATGACACAGGTCTCCATCCCTCCCAGGGTTGAGGCTGCAGTTCGGGATCGCTCCTAGCCCCTGCTCATGGAGTGAGAAGCAGAATCCAAGGATTAAACCCTAGTCCTCGCCAGACGCACACGCTGCTGCCGCGGCAGCTAGGCGGACCACAGCTGTGGTCACGGTGGCACATAAACTCTGGTCATGCCTGGGAACGAGGCGGCCAGGGCTGCAGACCGCGTTCTGTTTTAACAGTAATGTCGTGTCGGTAGTTCAGTACACAGGGTTAAAAGATGTGGCCACTACAAGCCAGACGATGCTTATCATTTAATGTCCTTTCAACTGGAGTGCACACAGAAATGTGCACCTTTTTCCTAGCCTGGTTGCCTTTCCCTGCCCCTCTTGGCCCTCTGTAAGCTTTACTTGGTTAAAACCTCTTTTAATTGCATGGAGTGGGGATGGTGCTGAAATTCTGCTCTCACTTTCTGATGGTGCCTTGTTCTCACCAAGTCCAAAGGGTCTCAATTCACCAAGAACCCTCTGGACACAGGTATCCTCCACTAAGATGCAGTTGGGGGATTGGAGGAAAGGAGCATCAGGAAGTAGAACAAACTACGTGCCCTTTAAGATAAAATTGAAATGTTTCCAACGAGGCCAGGTATGTCGAAATACATGAAACTTATGCTGCTATTCTACACCTGAGGCAGACATCGAGGATGGACGGCTCACCAAACCCAGGCTGGGCCTCAGAATTCCACTCAGTGCTGGACCCTGTTAGCTGACCCCAGGAGACTGAGCTGGCAGGAGAGAGGAAACCTCTTGGCCATCCCTTGAGTAGACATGAGCTCTTCAATGACAGGGCCTGGGTTTTTGCTGTCTTTTGTTTGTTTACTCTTGGTATAGTGGGGGGCACATAGTCGGAGCTCAGAAAACATTTGTTGAACTGAGCTGAATTCTGGCAGCCACTGTGCCTTTAAGTAGTGATGTCACAGTTCCAGAATTCTCTGGAATGCACTGTCATTTGCAAGGGGAAACTAACAAATGTTAGTTTCTAAAACTCCAGGAGTAGATGAATAATGGGTTACTTGTGAGCACTTCTGGGTTGATTTATTTATACCAGGCCATTTTCTCTATGCATTTTCCAGTTTAACCAGGAGTGGGCCTAGCTTATTGGTACCTTCATAAAAAGACTGTTTTTCTTCTTTGATTTTTTTTTTTTTTTTCCTGACTCTTTAGCCCAGTTCAGAAAACAGAGGTGAGTCTGGCATTATTTAAAGACTATAATTCCTAGCGGTCTTAAAAACAAAATGGTACCTTCCCCACAGGCTGGCCACTCTCTCCATGACCCTTTCTTTCTAGTGCAGTGAGGATGAAAACCATACCCTCTGCCTACGGAAGACAGAAGAGTTTCAGTGGACCCGGGGATTCTCAGGTACTGATGGGGTTGGTTTTAGCCAAAGAAAACGGACTGATGGAAAGTGGCTAAAGTGGGTCGGGGACAGATCTGAAAGACACATTTAGAAGTAAGTGGAGAATCCCCATGAAAGAAGGGTCCACTCTCACATGGGGAGAGATGTGAGGACGACAGATCAAGAGGGGAAAAAAGGTGAGAAAGAGGGAAAAGGTCAAATTGCATTGGTTAAGGGAAGTAACAAGAAATAGAGCCCATTTCCCAAGACATGGCATCTAGAGGATGCCACCCAGCACCACGAAGGTGTTGGCGCTCAAACGACAGTCAAACGCCTGGTGACAGGGTGGTGTGGCTAGGGCAGCAGAGAAGGAGCACCCACAAGTAATCGTGGAGGGGACAAGGGACAAGAAATGCTTAGAGGAGCATGAGAATTTAAAAGCGATAAATGGTCGGACACTGGGCTGAGGGATTTGGAGTCAGGAAGGAATTGGGCAGACAGGACAGGACTTGAAAGTAAAAGTAATAGGAGATGAAGAAAGATGAAGAAAAGGCCCACGCGGTGTACACTCTTTGGGGACACCCGTCCGCTGTCAGCCTTGGAGTTCAAAGAAGCCCCCCTTCTCAGTGGCCCATTTCCTTTGTCAAGACCCAGAAATGAAAGAAAGGGTCAAGAGGTCAAGAGAGCTGAGACCAAACCAGGGGCCCACCCTCCCCCTGAGCTCATGAAATGGGTAAAGTGGAATCCACTGAGCTGCATTTTGAGTGGCCGGGAGTTAATTACCTGAGTCTTAAAATAGGAAGGGACACCCAGGTCGGGAAGGCCCAATCCAATTACAATACGCAGTCTGAACGCCGGGAGCTAGCTTCCAGTGGAGCACGGGGTCTCCAGTGATGGTGCCGAGAGCCCCTCTGTGCCACCAGGCATTGCTGCTAAGTGATATTTTAATTAAACCTTAAGTGACATATCTCCTGTCTGTGACTCTGACGGCTTTTTAATTCAGGTCCCTGCGCAGCACAGACTCTTAATATTCCTTTCTAATTCCCAGGTTGCAAGGAAGGGTTTCCATGGCAGGACTCCTCCCTCCCCTGCCCCCTCCCCCGCCTCCACCCCCAGCCCGGCCTTGCCCTCCCCCGCCCCCAACCTGCCCAGAACGGCCTGGCAGCTCAGGGAGGCTTTCGCGCGGGCCCCTGCAGGGGGGAGACAGGCAAAGGCAGGAGTGCAGGCCTAAGAGCAAAGCGAGACTTACAGGTACCTGACTGGACAGACTCAGGTTGGCGGCCGGAGTCTTCTTCTTGCCGCCGGTGCTGTTGGTGGTGTTCCCGGCGCTGCTGTTGGACGTGCTGCTCGTGGAGTTTTTCCTTTTTCTCCGCTTGGTTGTCGGCTGCCTTGTGGGTTCTGCTGCACAATGGAAAATGGACAGGGGATCAGTTCCGGGGCGACGGTCAGAATACTGTCCCTCCAAGGAGCCTGTGCTTGCGAATTGAAAAGAGTAGACTCTACATTGGTCCCATTTTTTTTAAATGTACGTGGAGTAAAGGGAGGAAGCGCTTGTTTTATTTTTAGCCCCCAGTGCGTGCAACCCTCTTCTTTGGTATCTAGATAGAATGATTTGTGTTTTATTGTGTTTCGCGAATGTTGTATGTCTGGAATCTATCCATATATTTTAAGGGCCAGCCGCAAATACCACTTTTATAGTTGAGTTAAAAATATCATTACCATTTCAAAATTGGGGAAAACATTTTTCTCTGGACTGTCGTGTCTTTAGAGCAAAAGGAGGGCCCAGGGCTCCCTTGGGTTGGCAGGGAGGGAGCTTCTGAGAGATGAGGGAAAGGATGAAGCCAAGTGAAGGGGGTGAACCTGTGTAGGAGCCGTGTCTCTGGGTAAGCGCCCAGCACCATCACAGCTGGAGATGCTCGAGTACAAAGAAGAGGAAGCGTGAGTTCTGTCGGCCATGGGCTCCCAAGCTCAGTTCTCAAGTTGCATGGTTTGGACCCTGATGTTTAAAGAATGCTACTAATTTCAACTTTCCTGAGGGAAAAATGTCTTAGTGGGCCACGGCCAGCATATTCATGAAGGGGAACTAGATCTTTTCAGGAAAGTCCTGTTTAGAAACAGGAAAATATTTTGGACTGGATGGATGGGCAGTGTCTTCTTGGAAGCATAGGGACCCGTGGTGATGTGCGGTCAGATGAATATTATTTATTTATACATCATGTAGTGAGTTTTATCAAATGTTTTCATGTTCTTCATGGTTTCTATGTCATGACTATCTTATATCCATAGCAACTCTATTAATTAGATGCTATTCTAATCTGTGCTTTGTAAATGAGAAATGTTCGGAAACTTTTTCCAGGCAGTTACTCAGTTGGAAATGGAATGTAAGAGCATCCTTTTTGCTAACCCTAGTCTTGACCCAACTCTGAAGGAGAGAAGGTGAGCCGGGGCCATATTGGAACCAAGTGAGAGGGCCTCGTGGCATTTTCTTAAAACACTTATGCTGCTTCTGATGGGCAGTGGCCAGGATCTCCTTTAAGGCTCATTTCAAAGACCACCTAGTCCACCAAATTATCCCTGACTTTTGAGGAAGAAGGGGATTATGTTCCTATTTATATACCACTTTTTTCCCTTCATGAATATTTTGTCTCTTATGATCAGAGATGTTCATCAAAGGGCCTAACATGTCTGTCCACAGAGAGTCATGGGTGCTTGTCCTGAAGGTTGAGGAAACAGGAAATAGAATTGGTCCAGCTCAGGGTGCCAGAAAAGAGTTGAGTTACACGTTCAAGGTCAAGCAAATACTCAGTTCCCCTGACAAACATCTTCTTCCTTTACCTCAAGAATTAAAATTGGCTACTTTTTTTTGATATCTGTACTTCTTTTGTGAAATTTGGGGGAAATATACCGACACTGCCTACTCTGGATTACTCCCATTGGCAGCAGGTAGCTGAGGTCATAGAGTCATGAACTCTGGAGATGTAAGCACTTATTGTGACACAGACCTCCTTCACTGATCAGCTATGAGACCGCCTTTGGCAAATTACTGCTTAAATCTCAGGCCCTGTACACTTAAAATGGAAGTAATATTAAATACCGCATAAGGTTATTGTGAGGATTCAGAAAGAGAATGGAGGGTCTGGGCGGGCTGGGATTTCTGATTGTTTCATTCGGTGCTGTACCCCTTAGTGACTGGAACAGTACCTGGCACCTAGTAGGGGCTTAATCAATAACTACTGAATGAATGATTGAGTTAATAAATAATATATAAATTATATACACATATGCTGGAAAATATAGGTTCTCAAAGCATTCATTGAGTGAAATATTTTTTCCCATAAAGCCTTATTGATATTGAAAGAGAAAATAATCTAAGCACATTCAATAGATTTGAAAAATAATGTTTCAAATATCTAAAATTCCTCTAAGACAGGGATGTAAATATTCTATGTAAAATGATGCTCGTAGGGTGGCTCCGTAGCGCAATGGATAGCGCATTGGACTTCTAAAATGATGCTTGTTTTCTCAGATTTCTAAATATGTACTTAGTTAAATCTACTATATTCATTTCCTATAAAATGCCTGGCCCATTACCAGTGGAAGGTGACCATTCTATTTTGTGATTCAGAAAGCTATGTGCTTCGTGTTAATAATTACTCTTTATAAAAATAATTTTTAGCGAACGGATACGTTTTGCTTTTATGATCAATGAGGCTCGACACACGCCCGGGAGTAAAAATGTATTAGATAGAATGACAATTAATGATGACTGGAAGCAGTAATTTCAGAGCCCCAGCAGGAGACTATAGTATCTAAACTGCATTCTAAGGAAGTGAGGAAAATGGAATCTTTTATGTATTCTCTTCATGATCAGAGTACCCTTTGATACTAGATCTATCTTAAAAAAGGGAGCAAATTTATTTATTTATTTTTCTTTATTTCCTTCCTTCCTTTTCCCCCTTCCATCCTCCCTCCCTCCCTTTCTTCCCATAATTTAGATCATTCTTAAAGAAAAAAAACAGGCAAAAGAACAATGGACCATGAGAAGACATCAGTCTTGTCCAGTGGAATAGCCACTGGCCTGGGAGACAGGAAACCTTGCTTCTGATTTCGGCTTTGCCAATGATTTTGGTAACATTAAATAAATCAATTGACTTCTCTGGGTTTCAGGTCCTAAGTGAGATGATAGATGATTCCTAAGGATGCTGGTACTTCACAAATTCTACGTCCCCACATCCAAATATCCATAAGAAACTAGTCTTCCTGACAAATTTATGATTCCTTCCTTCCTTTTCACATCCCTTCGTCCCCCAAAGAGGCCTCAGAAAATGCATTTAGAACAAGAGTGAAGAACGAGCTCGTACCTGGGGGTGCCACCATCCGCTGCCACTTCTGAAACAAGCAGGTCTTCAGGCAGTCTCGTGGACTGAGGTTGTAAGTTTTATGTCTCGACATCAGTTCCTGCATTGGCTCCAGTATTACACACAACTGCAAAAAAGTTCAAAGACATCCGTGTTTCACTACTTGATAATATGATTTGCAATAAATAATGTTAACAGCTGGAAACAATTAGAAACCTCAAAGGTACTTTTCTTTTTCCCCCTGGTTTTGATTTTCTCTGTCCAAGTTTGGAGGAAAAGAAATATCACCAACACTTGATAATGCCCACTTAATTTACTATTACTTATAATACCATATTACAGCTGAATGTGATTTACACACACACACACACACACACACACATACACATCCAGACACATTCTGTACAAACTGTTGGGTGGATATATGTAGCTCTATTCTGAATTCAAATGATTCTCTCTGGTTAAAGAAAAAAGCTCTCTTCCATGGCGCACAGCATGCTCTGATTTCTGCTCTGGTTTCTGCTGTTGTTCCTGTTTGTATAACCACACACTGTGAGTTACAATGCTAGTTTATGTAGATTATATGGCAGTGAAAGCCATCTTTTAAACTGGAGAACAAAGTGGCAACTACAAGTACTTTCTGGATCCTAATTCTTATCAAGGCCCACGATGAACACTATTTTATTTTTATTCATGTACTCATTTGTATTTTACACATAACGATAATGTCAGTAACATATGCCAACATGAGTTCAGAGTGGGAGCTTTTTCTGTGACTCTGTACACGGTTGCTTTCTTGTCTCCTTTGGCTAGATTTTTCAGATTTACTTTGGTCCAAGACATCCGATGACAAAGATTAATGAATGAGCAAGAAGGTAAATCCATTTAGGATTGCCTTGAACTTTTCTGAATTCCTTCTCAGTTGGAAGCTCATCAGAATACTGCTGCATTGAGAGTGCTGTATCTGAGAAGACAAAGACCACAACACAGCTGTACACATATTGGCAAAGCACCCACCCTTCCATGTGGAAAGACAGCATTTCATTATAAAAGGCAGATGTGCCCTCACTGCCCATCTTTTTTACCACTCCCTTCCCTTCTGTCATTACTCAGAGGACATGCTGCTTTTTGTCCACTGGTCCACTGGGTTCCCTCTACTTGGAATTCTTCCCTCCCCTCTTCTTGGCTAATGCCCACTCATCCTTGAAGACAAGGTTACTTCTTCTGTTACACTTGTGTACCTCTCCCTATGCGGGCTGAACTGGGTGCCTCCCTACAGCTCTCCCATGGCACTCAGCCCTTTCTGCTCTATGAACTTACTCATCCATGCTTTGCAACCCTCTGCTTCCAAGTCTCTTTTCTACTTGACCTTGAACTCTTTGAATGCCCAGACTGTGCCTTTTTTCTCTGTTTTCCTAGGTTTGGCTCAAGTGAATGGATGCATTTAAGGTGTTCTTATAAATACCGGAAGATCTTTTCATGCCAATGTTCCTGAGAGTATGGTCTAAGGAATACTTCTGTCAGAACCAAACGAGTTCCAAACGAGTTGATCATTAAAAATGCAGATTTCCAGGCTCTTCCCCTTCTGTTTCACTAGGTATGGAACTAGGGTCCTGAATCTGCCTTTTGGAAAAGCATGCTCATGTCTGATTCTGATACATAGTACTAAAGTTTGAGGTCTGCTTTAGGATGGATACATATAAACAGCAAGACATGTGCAAATTCCCCGTGGCTTCCAGTTTGAACTCCACTTTTTTCTCACTTAACCCCACTTGCCCATGCTCTTCCTCTCTTCTCAAGCCTAAGCATGATAATCAAGATTACCTTCATCTAGAAAAATTTCTCTGCTCTTTTTACCTATCGATGATCTAAACTTGGCCCAAACCGCTAACTCCATTGACAGGACAACTGCAGTCACTTTCCCACTGCAGTTTCTCAGGAAGAAGAGAGCAAGATTTTAAAGCCTGAATGACACAAGTACAGTGTGAGACAAAGATACACTTTGGCCAAAGAGACACTCAACCCTAGTGAACCAGGCTGTCAGGTAATGAGATCTGGATTAGTTATGGGGCATCTTCAGTCTTGTCTATCTTCTTGCTTCAGAGTCCTTTCTGAAATTTAAAATGTTGGTAAGGAAGACCCCATGAAAGCGAGGAATTCCTGTGCAATTAACTCCACATTCCCACACTGTGAAGACTCGATGTGTATCTTTCCTCCATAAGGAATTCCTCACTGGAAATCAAAGTCTATGCAAGCTAAAGACAGCCTCAGGTCTGCCCCAGCCACTGATGCTCACCAGTCCAAACAGAGCGAAGTAGTCCACTGTCATCTCTACAAACAGAGATAAGAGTGGATTATCCACCAAAGGAGAACCACTGCTAGATTCAGACAGGGTCAGAAGATGTTTGCATCTATTATTAAGCTAGGTTAGCAAGAAGAGGTTTCAGGGAAATTCTAAGGGATGGAAAAATGTTTTGTTTTGTTTTTTAATTAAAATAACAAAGTTAGGTTTTCAACCATTTCCTTTGGCCCATTCCCCATTTTTGAGAAATGGGCTTACCGTGGATATAAAAATACATGGATGGAGCAGAACAAGCACAGACTTAGAAGCCAAGAGGTCTAGGTATGGATTTTAATTCTGTCCCTAGGTGTGCATCCTTGGCTGAGCCCCTTAAGAGTGCTGGCTCTCAGTTTCACCTGTAAGACAATACCCATCTTGCGTAGCATTGTGAGAATTTGAGATGTTATGTCCGACAGGTCAGAGTTCAACAAACAGTAGATATGATGATTCTGTATTAGCAAGAACAGCACAGACTGTGAAACAAACACCGCTTCTATTCCTTTAAATCAACAAGCATTTATAGAGCTTCTTCCTAAGGGTCAGGCACTCTGCTTCGGCGCTGCGGACATAACGAGTAGGATAACATCATCTCTATCCTCAGCGAGGATACAGCCCCCTTTGGGATGATTTAAGCATATTAAGAAAACGACTCGGGTGTACAGCTAAGCATCTTTGGGAATCACATGTTTATGAAGCAAGTATTTTCATTACGTGACAAGTTAGATGGCAGAAGTGACCTCTGTGGACCCAGAAGGGCAGTGGGCATGGAGCATACCAGCAGGGAGAGCTGCATTTACTGAGAGAACCCTTAAGCTCATTATCTACTTCTTTCTTGTGGGGCGTGGTTTCCTCCCTGGGTTTTGGGCAGCACTTTTTTCAGGTGCTAATCCTCAGGGTTTATCCATTCCCCTTGAATGTAAAAATATCTTCCCATCGCTGTAACCCACCCCAAAGGAGTTCCTATCTCTGAATACTAATCAGGAATCTCCAAAGCCATTTTTCTTCCAGAGGAGGGTTCCCAGGCTGGAGAGGCAGGCTTCCCCCGGATTCGTGTGTGCAAACGAGCCTGCCGTAGAGCTGGGCTGGTTTTGCTGGGCTGGTTTTGCTGGGCTGCGTGCTGTAGGTGGCAGAACCACCTCAGACAAGAGGCTGACTTCTCAGGCAGCGAGCCAGTGCATTTTGGCAACAGCGAAGGCCTGGGGCGTTCTGAAATGCGATCAGGAAGACGGTTGGGGGAGTGGGCTCCCGCAGTCACTCGCCAGTTCCTTCTGGAGCCAGGATTCCTGCTGTCCCTGGGGTCTTGGACCCCCTTGAGAATCTGGGGAAGGCTAGGCAGCCTCTCTTTCAAAGTTTGTACAAAATATCTGGAGGTTTATGAATCCTCTTATATCCCCATCCATTGACTCTAAGTAAAGAGTTCCCTGTTTGTAATAAGTATAAACCAGTCTACATGCCTTTTCCTCCATGCTACACACACACACACACAGAGGCATGCACACATCAGTCAAATGCATATTAATGGGGCTAAGCATAACAACACAGAGTCTTTTGATTTAAAGGAACAATTGTATCTGCAGAGTCGGGCCTGCTACAAAGTTCTCAGTGGACCAGCCCTTTTGGACAAGGGAGGCCACAGCATTTCTGCAACATCTGCAGCAGCCTGCACCCAGGGCTGCCACTTAGTTTGGCTTCCTCCTGCTGTGGTGTTGGGGGATAGCGGGAGGAATTCTAGAACATCATAGAAGGGGCAGGAGTCAGCAAGGCCTGAGACCTCATTTTGAGTATGAAGCTCCTGAATGTGTAGTCCCTGCCAGGTCCATCTAGGATCCCCAAAAAAGATCTTGCCCATCCCAGCAAAGCTGCAAGTACACCTTTCTGCAGATTTAGTGAGAATTTTAAGTTAGGTCGATGTCCCTATGCTTCTGACGTCATTTTCTGGGATTCTGGCCCCAGCACTGACCCTTTGGTATGGAATCAAAACCTGGAACTACAAAAGCAACTTGCTGAGTGAGTAAAAGGATAGATGGATGGAAAGATAGATGGGTGGGTGGGTGGATGGATGGATGGGTGGGTGGGTGGGTGGATGGGTGGATGGATGGATGGGTGGGTGGGTGGATAATAGACAGATTGGCCAGATTTACAGCAAGGAGTCATTTCCTAATAGCAGACAAATCAAGCCTTGTCTTGGAGGCTTAGAGGTGACGTATTTGTGCATGTGATAAATAACGGATTGCCTCCCCCGTACAGAAGGCTTTGCACAAATGCACATGTGTGTACCCGATTACTGTATGTCCTGGCCAGGCAGGAAGATCTCAGCACATCCTGGGACTTTTCGTAGTAACAAAGGGCCCAGTAAATGTAGACAGTATTGTGTTTTGCTTTGTTTTCATCTGACAGTTCTCCTGGAGAAATTTGATTCTCCTTAGCTATGTGTTCACACTTATTCTTCTTGCTCAACTCCTTGCCCAAACCCAATTCTAGAAATAGGTGATGCTTGTCAGAGTGGGCGGTGGCCTATGAAAAAGCTGATGCCCTGGAGTTGGCATTTGGCTAACTCCCAAACCTAGGTCCTGTCTACTGCCAACATTTTGATTCAATGTTTTCTGGATGATGGATGACATCCTCTGAGCTTGAGCCACCTAATCTTTGCATATAGGCTTGCCCGAGGTTACTATTTCAATACCAGCTCAGGCCTTTGTTCATGTTGTTCTTCTTGCCTAGAAGACCTCCCCTCTTTCCTGGCCCTTTTAACCAGAGGTTGGCAAGCTAGGGCCTATGGGCTGAAT